TGCTTGTTCTTCTGCACACCCTGGGGGTCTTGGGGTCTCCTCATACATACCTCACGTCTTATCCTTCTATCTCTCCCTCTTTCTGCATCTGGGCTGCTGGTCGTGATTCTGCTCTCTGTCTCTTCATTCTCTCTGTGAAATCTTTTTCCCTTTCTCACCTTCTCTTAAAACATCCTATCTTGTAAACATGTCAAACATCTTATCTTTTAAACATCTCAAACATCCTATCTTGTAAACATCTCTCGTTGTCTACTGCTTGTTCATATTTCCTGTTTCTCACCCTCTCTCTCTCTCCCTTCCCTTGTCTTTCTCTCTTCTCTCGTTGCTCTCTCGTTGCTCTTCCCTGTCAAGCTGCTTCTCTTTCTAGCCTCAGCTGTCAGCAGAGAGAGAAAGCGAGACGCGGGAAGAGGGAGAAGAGGAGAGGGAGAGGAGACAAGTGAAGAACAGAAAAGCGTACCGTCAGAGGAAGCGCAGGGGAGACAAGGGAGAGGAGAGGGGATAAAAGATAAGAGAGCGAAAGAGAGGAGACGAGGAGAGAGGAGGCGAGAGCTTCTCTCTTGGAGAGGAGGTAAGGATGGAAGAGGAGAGGACAGTAGAGTAGAAAGGCGATCATAAAAGCGAAGAGAAGGGAAGAGGAGAGGAGAGAGGAGGGGTGGAGAAGAGACGAGCAGAGTGGGGGAAAGCTGAGAGCAGAGAGCGGAGAAGAGAAATGGACAGGAGGGAGGTAGTGGAGTGCAATGACAAGGGGAGCGGACAAGGCAGAGGACGAGTAAAGAGAGATGGAGGAGCAAGGAGCAGGGGGAAGAAGGAAAGAGACGGAAAGAAGGAAAGAAAGGGACTGCGAGGAGCAGATCTGACCGGAGAGAAGAAGATCTTGCATGAGAGGAGGGGAGAGGGGAAGCAGGTGAAAGGAGAGCAGATCAAACAGAAGAGAAGATCAGATCAGAGGAAAAGGCTGGCGGAGAGGAGAGTAGATAACGGAGAGAAGGCTCTATACGTGAGCACAATAGGGTAAGGAGCCAATGCAAGGGGTGTGGAAGGTGGCTCCATATGTCTCCACAACAACGGAAGGTGTAACTGTAAGGACTGCGAGACACAAGATGAACAATGTAGGCACAAGAGTAGAAGGCTAGATTGTGAAGATGAAGATGAACAATGTAGCCACAAGAGAAGAAGGCTAGATTCTGAGGAGTTTACTAGAGACTTGTAAGAATAAACATCCAAACATTGATCAAACAATAAGCTTGTATTCAGGGTGCACACTTAGTAAAATATACCCCCTGGATCCTTGTTGTTTAATCTCTCCAATCGTCTCCAGACATGCAACCATATAAGCAACCATATGAGGCTGCACAGTCAGTAAGATGTACCCCCTGGGTTCTCGTTGACTACAACCATGCGTTTCTAGACTTGCAGCCATATGAGCAATACTCGTCATCATATCCATTGCACAGTTTGTATACCATTCCACAATCCCAGCATGACAACTCGAGCTCCTCTTCACATCTCTTGCAGTGTCGCTCCTTTATCAAGCGTCCATCGCGACATACTGCGGTTTCCATCGCGTCGAGGTGCTCAAACACATCATCACATGTGGAGCATCTCCATACAAAATAATTATCTGTGCAGGTCTTGCAGGCAGACAATCTATTGCACTCTTCAGAAGGTGTCCAAGAGCAGCACATCTGGCACATAAAGTTGGCATTGTTGAATTCCTCGATCTCTGTCTTGCATAACTCCATGTACCTATCAAAGATAATGTCCTTGACGTCACTCAAGCAAGAGTTCTCAAGATTGATCCTGTTGAACTTCACAATCAAAGGATTCATTGTCGTTTTTTCCACATCAGACATCCACCTTGTCATTTCTTGATCAGATATCTTGAAATGATTGCAATCTATCCTTTTAAAAGATCCTGAAGCTCTGTATGCCCAGCCCCTTGATCCCTTTGGTCCTCTCCCTAGTAGAAAGCCACCCGCCTCAGCCAATCAGCAGCAAATGCTTAAAAGGCAGCAACAAGACATACCCGGAAGGTACCATCGCACACAAAAGGCAGCAACAAGACTTCTTCTTCTTTTTTTTAGTTTTACACTCCCCCGTAGCCGCTGGTAGGATTAGCTTTTCTTTTTTGGACCACCCCTCCTCCCTTCTCTCCCCTCCTCCTACCACCCCCTACCCCTCCCTAGTCCGGCCTCGCACCCCCTCGCTCCCTCGCTGCACGTACCCCCTTTATCCCCTCCCCTCCCCTCCTCTCGCTCCTCGGCCCCGCCATGGCAGCGGACCAGGGAGCGCTCCGGTCCTTCATCTGCCCCATCAGCATGGCGCTCATGACCGACCCTGTCACCTGCTGCGATGGCCACACCTACGAGAGATCCTCCATCGAGACCTGGCTCCGCCATCGTCTCTCCAGCCCCCTCACCGGCGCCCTCCTCCCCTCTGACCACCTTGTCCCCAACCTCGCTCTCCGCAGCGCCATCCAGGAGTGGCAGGAGCGACACGCGCTGCTCGTCCCCAGCTACGACGTGGAGATGGAGGGGCAGCCTATCTCAGCAGGCTCCTCCCAGACCCTCTACATAGGTCACCTCCGCCTGCAAGGAAGGAGAGCAGGGCCCGGCAAGATCAAGGTAGCCGTGCTCAAGCTCAGGCAAGACGACGGCGGCAGACAAGCCGCGGTCATGCTCAGACTCGGGCCGCATCCTCGGCTTGTACGCTACATGGGGCAGAGCCAGGACGCCGACGGCTGTCCCCTGCTGCTGACCGAGCTCGCCGAGCTGGGGTCGCTGAGGGAGGCTCTGCTGGGGAGGCTGGCGGGGCAGGTGACGCGAGGGCACCAGACGGCGATGATGGAGCAGATCGCGCAGGGCATGGAGCACCTGGCTGAGCAGCGGGTCGTGCACCGGGACCTCGCGGCTCGGCACGTGCTGGTCATGGGCTTCGACAAGGAGGACGTGGGGAGGACGTCGGTGAAGGTGGCGGGGTACGGGCGGGCAGGGGAGCTGGTGGACGGGAGTGACGGGAGGGTAGCGGGGCGAGGGCTGCCGGTGCGGTACATGCCCCCAGAGTCCATGCAGAGAGGCCGGTGCTCGGAGAAGAGCGACGTGTGGGCCTACGGGGTCACGTGCTGGGAGATCCTGACCTCGGGCATGACCCCCTACTACCCCATGACGGACCCGACTGTGATCGGGTACGTGTGCGGGGGTGGGAGGCTGCCTCGAGAGCACCTCCTCGGAGGATGCCCGGACGGGTTGTGGGCCCTGCTGGAGAGCTGCTGGGCGACGAGGGAGGAGGACCGCCCGAGGTTCGCCGAGCTTGCTGTAGCTGTTGGAAGAGCCGGAGCCGAGGGGGATGAGGGGGCTACTGCATGGACAGGGTCAGACAGGACGCCTGGACAGCAGCGGGCAGGGGCCGGCAACCAGTCGCTATGCCGAGGCATACGCAGCATGGCAGAAGCTGCATGGAGAAGGATCGGAGAGGCAGCGGGGGGAGGGATCGAGGCGGTGGCGAGGAGAGTCAGGAAGCGCAAGTACGCAGAGCTCGTGGAGCTGCAAGAGTCAGCTTGCACCGCCTTGGAGTCCACGGGCAGCGACGCTCTCAGCTCGCTGAGGACGGGAGCTCAGGCGCTGTCGGCAGCGGTAGGGGCACAAGACGGAAGCGGGATGGAGCAGCCGGCAAGGGAGGCATGGAGGCTGCTGAGGACGGGAGCCGACGACAGCATAGAGGCGGTGATGCAGGAGATGAGGACGTACGAGGCTCTCGCGGAGGTACAGCAGGCTGCGTGCGAAGCCTTGGTCAGCATGGCTCAGCACGGGGAGGCTGACAAAGTCAAGGCGCGAGAAGCGGGAGCGATCGAGGCCGTCGTCAGCGCCATGACCACGCACGCAGACGACGCGGGGGTACAGCAGGCTGCGTGCTGGGCCTTGAGACATACCGTCAGTGTCATCAAAGAGAGCCAGGCGCGGGCGCGAGAGGCGGGAGCGATCGAGGCCGTCGTCAGCGCGATGACCAAGCACGCGGACGACGCGGGGGTACAGCAGGCTGCGTGCTGGGCAATGAAGCATACCGTCAGTGTCATCGAAGAGAGCCAGGCGCGGGCACGAGAGGCGGGAGCGATCGAGGCCATCGTCAGCGCGATGACCAAGCACGCAGACGACGCGAGGGTACAGCAGGCTGCGTGCGAGGCCCTGGACTACATTGTTAGCTTCAGGGATGAGAGCCAGGCAAGGGCACGACAGGTGGGAGCGGTCGAGGCCGTCATGAGATGCCTCGATAGGCACGCGAACGACTTGAAAGTACAGCAGGCTGCGTGTGAGGCCCTGAAGTACACAATGCAGTACTTCCGATACCAGGGCACAGCGAGAGATGCGACACCGATCGAGGCCGTCGTCAGCGCCATGACCAGGCACCACAGCAACGCAAAGATACAGCAAGGTCTATGCAAGGTGCTGACAGCGATAGCCGAGAGCCACGAGCAGAACAAGCTCCCGGCCATGC